CAAAAACTATATAAAATCCCCCCAGAGTTCTGGATCTCCTTCCAAAGATTAGCAGTCCCAAAATGAACTAACTTAAAGTCACTGTAATGGTCAGCAGCCCCCCGCTGACCCCTCATCTCCTCACGACACTGCTCCTCATGCCATGTTTGTTTCCCTGCTGTGTTTTGCCTATCACCCATCCTCCAGCTCAAGCCTGCTCCCTTCACTCCACAGTAATCAGCCTTCATTCCTTGCACCTGTTCACCTGCCTTTACAAGCTCCACGTCCACACCAACCAGGGCCGAACTATTACACCTCCCATGGTCTCTAATATCCAGCCTTCATAGTTTCCTGTTTCATGTCTTGTTCTCTGGATTTTTGACCTCACAACTTCCTTTTGGATTCCTTGTTGTTGCCTACGCCTCATCTGGTTTTGGACTCTGCTTTCTGAGCACGGTATCGACCCCGTTTCTGGTGATCATGACTACGTCTCATGACTTGGCCCTGGTTTCTGCTCTCTGCCTTCCAGTTCATGACCCCTGCTTCGTCAACTGGACCCCGTTACTGGACTTGCCCCTTGAACCACATTATTGAAGCTTTTCTCTGCAGCTGCTCTGCACCAGGACCAGTGACGTCATCACTGCCATTCGGTCAGGTGACTCTCTCCTTCCAGCCTGTGAGAACCTGTTAATGCAGCTGATGATTCCTCCAGCAGCAACCAAATTAATAAAAACTGTTCTTTATGTGTTCCTGTGTCTGACTTATTCTGAATCAAACCTGAACGTGACAGTCGCAGTCCTTCAAAGAGAATGGGTCTAACTCAAAGTCCAGCCCTACTTTAATCCCAGTAGAAGAAATCACACTGACGAGAGGTTAGAGACTCCCGGAGAAAAATGTAAAATGTTGGTTCATAAAAACGTTGTGGACCAGAGGACCACTGGCTGAACACCTAGAAATGCTGAAAACCTCAGAGGGCGGCAGCTGCTGGAGACCTGCGGACAAACAGGTGGATTGTTGTGGTCTCACTAACTTCTGACCATCTTTAATACAGATCTGTGTGGACAGGGACGTCCAGCTGTCCTCATACAGATC